GACTAAAATCAAGTTGTCAGCTGAGTGATATGCTTCCGTGGGTTCTAGGGGAGAATCTGTTCCCTGACTTTTCTGGCCTAACTAGAGGTTTGGAGCCATGTCATTCCAGTCCCTGCTGTGGTCATGACACCAACTTCTCTGACTCTGGACCCCCTGCCTCCTTAATAAGGACCCGTGTGCTTACACTGGGCCCACCCACTCAGTCCAGGGCATCTCCCCATTTCAAGGTCCTTAACTGCATCACATCTGCAAAGTCTTTCTTACCATGTGAGGTAACATAGCCACAGGTTCCAAGAATTAGGATGGACATCTCTGGGAGGGTCATTATCCGCTGACCACTGGTAGAAAGCCAACCACTCACCCACCCAGCAGCAAACACCTGCTACTCTGTGCCAGGCACCGCACTGGGGAGCGAGGGGCCTGCAGCTGCTCGCAGGCTGCAGGTGGGGTGACGCAGTCAGTCTTCTCAAGAGTCCTCCATTGTACCAAGGGGGAAACTGAGGCACAGGGAAGTTAAATAGTCTGCCGGCAGTTACAGAGCTAATAAGTTGCAGAGTATCAGTCAGAGCCCCAAAGGGGAAGAGCTGCACACTCAGATTAACTCAAGGAGGGTTTATTTGCCACAGAGTATGTCCAAAGACTCGGGCGGCCACTTGTGGGTGGCAAACACAAGGCCCAAGAGCTGAATCCGGCCCGCCACCTTGTTTTATCCGGCCCAGCAACTTGTTTCTACCTAGTGGCAGCACTGAGCTCCTTGCCCCTAGTTAAGGAGCAGTTACATTTACACAGTCCTAAAATGACATTCGGCCCTTTGAAGGCAACCACCAGGCTGACGTGGCCCCCAGTGAAAATGAGTTTGACACCCCTGCTATAGGGGAACTTAAGGGACCATGAGGTAACCAGGGTTAAGAGCAGGGAGTTGTCACCACCCAGAAAGACAGAGTCGTGTTGAAGCTGCTTTGAGAAAAGTGACCTGCAGACCAGGGCACAGCCAGCCCGAGGTGGACCTCACAGGGAGGTGGCCAGCAGAATAAGCTCAGTAGCCTTACTCTCCGCTCTTCCTCTGACCTGCTGAGGCTCCCCAGTGGCTGTGCCTAACCTCAGCCGAGGGTCAGAGGGCTAATCCTCGGAGCAAGGATCTGCAGGATAAGGGGAAGATGTCACACGCCAGAACTGGGCTCAACCTCGGTGTCTGTGCTTTAAGCACCAAACGACCCAGCCTCTCTTCTTGTGGGTCCCAGTTGGTTCAGCCTGACTTCACAGAAGGTTGCCTCACCTCCTGGTGAACCCCAGGCTCAGGTGACTTCAGTGCTTGACAACTTCATGGTGCAGTCCAACTGCCTTAAAATGCCCTCACCCGCTGGCCTTGGTAGTCCTATCTCTGGGATTCTGTCCAAAGGATCTTTCTCCCCACCGAGGTTGGCCAGGTAACCCTAGGGGCCAGGTGCTCTTGAGAACTGACGGCAAAAACTGACGTGACAGGCCACAGCCTTGTCACCCCCTTGGCATTGGGTAGGGACTCTTGGTCACCAACAACTGGGAGCTGCCTTTGTGGGTAACTCAGGTGTGACGGACCCTCCCGGACCTGCTATTTCAGCAGCGGCTGTGCTGAGGGAAGCAGAAAGTGCGTGCCCATCGGAGTAGATCTGCCCGATCCCACACTGAAACTGACCGCTGCACAACTCCAGTGTCCGTGCTGCTCTCCAGCACAGTGCCCCTCTCCTCCCCTCCTTCACCTGCTAAAGAAAACCCTCACCATCAGCTGAAGAAAAGTGCCCCAGGGGCTGCAGCGAAGTGGGAAATGGGGGAAGAACATGGAACTTTGGGGAAATGTCTGTTGCAGCACCCCTCATGTTAGTGGGCGGTTGTCTGCTTGCATACCCGACTCCCCCAAGAGACTGAGAGCTCCTCTAGGACCAGGTCTAGGTCTTAGTTTCCTTATCCTTCCCAAATACCGGGTGCTGTGAGGACTGAATGAGTTGATGCATGTAAAACCCTCAGCATGGAGCCGCGAGGGTGAAGTGCCCGGTGAATTTGGGCTCTCTTGTTATTACTCACCCATCCATGCCCACAGCCGGGCCCAGAATAGGCGCTCGTGAGGAAAGACAGCCTGTGAGACACTGAACGCACACACAGGCAATGGCCAGTGCAGCTATATAAAGACAGAACTCTGACCCACAGTGTGCAACAACCTGCTCAGCAAACAGACCCATCTGCACAGTAACCAGTTCAGGAAGCTAGTCTGCCGTAAGTCAGACTCGTAGGAAGTCAGACTGCTTCTCTATCAACAATCCAGGAAGCCAAACAACCCTCTCTATAACAATTGGCCCCAAAAGGCCAGAACTTGATTACTGACAGTGTCCTTAATTTTTGTCCCCACTTCCAACTTAGCACCAACCAGAGAAAGCCAAATACGCACCTTAACCAATCACACAGAATGCCCCACTGCTAGCTGGCCTGCCTCCAGCTCCCCAGGCCGATTGGCCTCCAATCAGGGCACGCCCAAAGCCTTCCCTTTCATCCACTGTAAAGCTTTCCCACTCCTCTGACTGCCTTTGAGCCTCTGCCAAGTCCAAGGACAGTAGTTGACTCCCTCACTAGAGCCGCTCTGAAAAAGCAGCCGCTGCCAGTTCTCATTTGGGCGGTCTTGGTTCATTTCTGAAGGTGTATCTCACACACCTCTGGCCTGGCAGGCCCAGGATACACTCAATAAGAGCTAAGTGATTTGCATAGAGAAATGGGGAGAGGGGATCACAGGAAAAGGGGAGATAAAAGAGCCAGAGCTGGACCCTGGGTCCCACTTGCCCTTTGGACTGGTTTCATTTGCGCCACTGTCCTTCCCAGGGCTTGCTGTTTCCTGCCTAAAATGGGTGAAGGACATCAAGGGGAGGCAACCATTTAAAGACGACCTGCTCAGAGCGGCCATGAGCCAAGCAGAAAACCGTCCCCAGGGCACCCACAGACAGCAACCTGGCAGGAAAGGAGTCACAGATGGTGCTCTCCCCAATACCAGAGCAGCCCCTTCCTCTGTCAGAACCCAGAAAAAGACACTGACAGGCTGTGAGGAGCCCAGCAGACCCTACCCAAGCCCTCTCCTCACACATAAAAGGTGAGAGTTTTCCTATTTGAGAGAGAAACCATGACAAAGCCTGGGGCTCAGAGCTATCTCTGTGGCCGCAGGTTGGTCCTCAGCTCCAGCCCCTTGCTGCTGGGCACATGCAGCCTTCGCTCTGTAACCCAAGGCACGGACAGGAGGGAGTTCAGACTCTACCCTTTAACAGACTTCTGCCCAAAAGCATATGATGACGAATATATTTCCAGGGCCGAGGCCCGAGTGCACAGGGCTGTAAGCACATTTCACTGGCACTCCTTGCGGTCCCCCTGGAGAGGGCCTGTTTGCTCATCCCTCAAGGCACGGCCCAACATCAAATCCTCTGAAAGTCCTTGCTTCCACACCCACCCTATTTTCCACGCCACTCTCGGGAAGAACTTGTTCCTCTTTCCAGCAGTCCCAGTGTTTTGTCCACACTAGTATCACAGCACTCAGTGTTGTTGCTGAGTTCATTCTCCTTCAGGGAGAGACCTGGTCCCCTGGCCTTTGTTTCTGAGGCAGAGGTCTGGACCATAGGAGGTGCCCAAGGGTTGGGTGAATGCACTGGTGAATCTTTTTACCCACAGGAAGGCCCCCTGCCTGACTGCCCTCCCTATGGGCTCCAGTCAACCCCTACCACCCACTTTCTATCTTTCCATCCTCCTCTGGAAAGCAAACATCCAATCCCAATTGGCTACATAGAGTTCTGGGGGACCCTTAAGCTAACGCAGGTGGCCTGGAAAGGCAGCCCTGGCCTGGGAGGTGGGCAACCAGGGCGTACTGCTCTGAGACCCCAGACAAGCCCCTTCTCTCCCTGCGCTTCCTTCTCCACCCCTGAAATGAGGTAACAGAGACAGCTCTGATATTTTATGGAAGATTCTTCCAGCTGTGGCCCTTAGGCTACATCTAGTGTGTTATGGTTTTCATATTATATAACAATATGAGCTTTGTGCGTTTCACTCGGAAACGACTGCACAAACCACGCCCTCTCCCTTGCCCTTGTGTCTGAGCCTAGCCAGTGGTCTTTCCGGGTCCTGCCTATAGCTCCCGCCTGAGTCACTGGTTGCCAATTCACACTCCCTCTCCTCTCTGGGCTCTGCCTAATGCCCAAACCTCCTCCAGGAAGCCTAAACTCAGCTGTATGAGCTATGCTTGCTCGTGCTCCTCCTGTTCCATCAGGATTTTGCATACTGGTTTCTTCTCTAAAGAGGCTCTTAGACCCTTTTCATGACTCTATCAGACAGAGGATTCTAGAGGGCAGGAAGTGCTCTCCCCAACTCTCCTGCTCCTCCATTTCACAAACACATGCCAAGCGCCCAGGTCGCAGCTCCATCCATGCAGCTGAGTGACACTGGAGGGACTGCTCTGTGGGGAGGGGACAGGCACTGGAGTGTCCATTGCACCCTGCTTGTCCATCTGGAGGAGCCATTTCATAAGAATCTGTAATGCCCACCCGTCGGCCTCCCGCCCGCCTCCCTGCCAAGCTCCCTTGTCCACTCACTCTGTGTGTGCCCCATGGAGGAAAGAAACACCAGCATTCCTGGAATCTGTCACTCCCAAACTGGGAAAACAGCACAGGAGAACAATGCCAGACTGGGGGGCTGGAAGGGGAAGTTTACCAAGAAATACCACTCCCAGACCTCTGGACCCCAAACATCCTGCTGTTCAGAATAAGAGAAATCACTCCAGCAGCCACACCCTGAGCCATTAGCCAATTAGATTCACAGCCATCTAGGCAGAAGTGACACAGACATTTCCAGACTTCAGGAAGGACACGGGTCCATCCTCAAAGCCTCCCCCAGGGAATGACTTCCTGGGTCCAGCTGATGTCCAGTTACACTCCCAACAGGGTCAGAGCCTGAGGACCAGAGCTAGCCACGCCCCACAGCCTGAGCTGCCCGGGGCCTACCTCGGAGCTGACAAAATGTGGTCATGAACTTGCTGGTGAGGGACTTGAGCTCGTTGTTGGCCAGTGTAATGAGCTGGATCTGGTCGGTGACATTCCGCAGGACCTTGTAGATGCCAATGGGGAAAGAAACCAGCTTGCACTCGGCCAGATCTGCAGCCAAAGAACAAAGACAGACCAGAGTTAGCAGTCACAGCTGCCCAAGGACTTGACTAGCCCCGGTGCTCCTTCCCAGCCCCCTTGCTCTCCCACCTGTCCCCCCTGTGCCAGGCTTGACACCCTGTCTTCCCTCCTGCAAGAGTCTTCATTACCCTTAACCACACTTGTCCCTACCTCGCACCTGAACCTTAGGTTTATTCCAGCACCTTCTCTACCACCATAGCCTACTAGCCATAATGTGGAAGGCAGAGCTCTGCCAGCACAGAGATGACCAGCATTCATGGCAATGTCCTGGAGGCCATGCAAAATCCACGAGTCCCTGTGGAATCATCCAAGTCTCAGCGGTGAGGCTGCGGCCTTATGACTACTTTATAATAGTCAGAGAACAGGCAAGTCACACAGACTTTGTGGTTTGACCCCAGTCCTGTCACTCCAAAGATAAGTAAGCCTTGCACAAGAGGCAAGGCAGCTGCTGCAGAGCCTTGCCTGGCAGTTCCTCAAGAACTACCGTATGGCCCTGGCCGGGTGGCTCAGTTGGTTAGAGTGTCGTCTTGATACGCCAAGGTTGAAGGTTCAATCCCCAGTCAGAGTACATACATAAATCAACTGATGAATGCATAAATAAGTGGAACAACAAATTGATGTTTCTTTTTCTTTCTCTTTCTCCCCACCTCTCTCTCTTCCTTCCTCTCTCTAAAATCAAGAAATAAGGATTTTTAAAAAGTTCCACTCCTAAGATATACCCAAGAGAATAAAACCATGGGTCCGCACAAAAACACATTACACATGGGTGTTTGTGGCATCGTTATCCATAACAGCCAAAACATGGCGGTAACATAAATGCCCCCCAGCTGCTGAATGTGCAAGCAGACTATGGTATCTCCATAAAAAGGACTGTGTTTAGAGATAAAAAGAAATGAAGTACCAATATACACTACAACACTGAAGGACATGTAAAACTTTACGCTAAGTGAAATAAGCCAGTCACAAAGGATGACATATTGTATGAGGCCATTTACATGGAATGTCCAGGACAGGCAAACATACAGAAGGAAGAAAGCAGATCAGTGGTTCCCTAAGCCTGGAGGGCACGGGAGGGTTGTGGGAAGCAGACCAAGGGGTAATCTTTGTGGGGGTAATGCAAATATTCTACCCTTTGACTGTTCACAGTAATTTCTTACAATCCTTTGTATTTCTGTGGTATCAGTTGTAACATCTCCTCTTTCATTTCTGATTTTATTTATTTGGTTCCTCTCTCTTTTTTTCTTCATAAGTCTGGTTAAAGTTTTGTCAATTTTGTTTATCTTTTCAAAGAACCAGCTTGTGGATTGATTCACTGATCCTTTGAATTGTTTCTTTTAGTCTCTATGTCATTTAATTCTGCTCTGATCTTAATTACTTCCTTCCTTCTACTCTCTCTGGGCTTTGTTTGTTGTTGTTCTTCTAGTTCTTGTAGCTATAGGGTTAGGTTGTTTATCTGAGATTTTTTTAAAGTATTTTTTATTGATTACGCTATTAGTTTTCCCAATTTCTCCCCTTTATCCCCCCTCCACCCTGTCCTCTGAAACCCTCCAGCATTTCCCCCAACCTTAGTTCATGTCCATGGGTGGTACATATAAGTTATTTGAGTCCTCTGTTTCCTATACCATTTTGTATCTCTCCCTGTCTATTTTATGCCTACTAATTACGCTTCTTCTTTCCTGTACCCTTTCCTCCCTATTCCTCCCTCCCCCTCCCCACTGAACTTCCTCTGTGTGATGTCTATTTCTCTGATTCTGTTCCTTTTCTAGTTATTTGCTTAGTTTTTGTTTTCATTGTTTTTCTTTTCTTTTAGGTTCATCTGTTGATAGTTGTGAGTTTGTTGTCATTTTATTGTTCATATTTTTTATCTTCTTTTTCTTAGATAAGTCCCTTTAATGCTTCATATAATCAGGGCTTGGTGATGATGAACTCCTTGAACTTGACCTTATCTGGGAAGCACTTTATGTGACCTTCCATTCTAAATGAAAGCTTTGCTGGATAGAGCAATCTTGGATGTAGTTCCTCGCCTTTCATGACTTCAAATATTTCTTTCCAGCCCCTTCTTGCCTATAAGGTTTCTTTTGAGAAGTCAGCTGATAGCCTTAAGGAAACTCCTTTGTAGGTAACTATCATCTTATCTCTTGCTGCTTTTAGGATTTTTTATCTTTAATCTTGGATAATTTAATGATGATGTGCCTTGGTGTGTTCCTCTTTGGGCCCAACTTCTTTGGGATTCTCTGGGCTTCCTGGACTTCCTGGAAGTCTATTTCCTTTGCCAGACTGGGGAAGTTTTCCTTCATTATTTGTTCAAATAAGTTTTCAATTTCTTGCTGCTTTTCTTCTTCTGGCACCCCATAATTCAGATATTGGAATGTTTCAGGTTGTCTCAGAAAATCCTCAGCCTTTCTTCATTTTTTTAAATTCTTATTTCTTTGTTCTGATCCAGGTGGATGTTTATTTCTTCCTTTTGTTCCAAATCGTTGCCTTGAATCCTGGTTTCTTTCTTGTCACTGTTGGTTCAATGAATATTTTGCTTTATTTCATTTTGGGTATCTTTCTTTTGTTCTTTCATTTTTTGACCAAGCTCAATCAGTTCTGTGAGCATTTTGATTACCAGGGCTTTAAATTCTCCATCAGATAGGTTGGCAGTCTCCTTGTTGCTTAGTTCTCTTTCTGAGGTTTTGCTGTGTTCTTTCATTTGGGCCATATTTCTTTGTCTTGGTAAGTTGTAATAAGAGGGGCCTTAGGTATTCACTGAGGCAGGGCAACCCTCCTTGCTGTGCTGCCTGTGGGGGAGGGGCCAGAGAGGGAGCAATGCAGCTTGCCTGCTCATCTCTAGCGCACTGTCCCACAGACTCTCTGTCAGACAGGAAGTGTCTCCCACCGCAGCAACCCCAGCCTTAGCCCACAGTCAGCTCTGAGTCTCAATTTTCCCTGTAAGTCAGTCCCTCCCGTGCAGCTCTGCTGAGCTGGGCAGTCAGCCCCGCCCCCCAGCCGCCTTGTTGGGGGTTTTTTGAGTCGGCCTGTGTGGTCCACCTTACCGGTCTGGTTATTTTGGTTGATTTTTTCATTAACTCCTTGATTGTCAGAGTTCCATGCAGTTTGATTTTCTGGTGATTTTGGTTGTTTATTGATTTTAGATTGGTTGTTATCCTCCTTTAGGTTGTGTGAGGAAGCGAATGGTTTCCACCTACGCCTCCATCTTGGCCAGAACTCTTATTTGAGATTTTTCTATCTTCTTTAGGTAGGCCTCTGTTGCTGTGAACTTCCCCCTCAGGACTGTCTTCGCTATATCTAAAGGTTTTATGCTGTTGTTTCATTTTCAGTGTTTCCAGATATTTTTTGACTTCTTCCTTGATCTCATTGTTAACTCATTCATTATTTACTAACATTATTCAGTCTCCATGTATTTGAATATTTTTTATTTTTTCCTTGAGGTTGGTTTCTAGTTTCAAGCCATTGTGATCTGGGAAGATGCTTGATATGATTTCAATTTTCTTGAATTGGTTGAGGCTTTTTCTGTGTCCTACCATGTGGTCTCTCTTTGCAAATGAAAAGATAAGCTGCATGTGTGTCTGAAAGAAATGTACCTTTTCTTCTTTGGGGTGAATGCTCTGTAAATATCAATTAAGTCCATTTGATCTAGAGTGTCATTCAATGCCACAATATCCCTGTTGATTTTTTGTTTGGACAGCCTATCCATTGTTGACAGCATGGTGTTCAAATCCCCTATTATGACTGTTTTGCTGTTGATCTCTTTCTTAAAGTCTTCCAAGATTTTCTTTGTATGTTTAGGTGCTCCTATGTTGGGTGCGTATATGTTTGCAAGGGTTATGTCCTCTTGTTGGACAATTCCCTTAAGTATCGTGTAGTGACCTTATTTGTCTCTTGTTATGGCCTTTAAGTCTACTTTGTCTGATGTAAGTGTTGTTACCCAAGCTTTTTTTTCATGTCCATTGGAATATTTTTTCCATCCTTTCACTTTCAGCCCGTGTAGATCTTTTATTCTGAGGTGGGTGTCTTGTAGACAGCATATCTGCAAGTCGTTTTCTTATCCATTCAGCTACCCTATGTCTTAAGAGGGAGCATTTAATCCATTTATATTTAAAGTTATTATTGATAGATATTTATCCATCACCATTTTTTCCCTTTGTTCTTGTGTTCCTCTCTCTTTTTCTTCATCTTCCTAAAGCAGACCCATTAACATCTCTTGCAATGCTGGTTTGGTGGAGATATATACTTTTAGACTTCTTTTTTGGTCTGGGAAGCTCTTTATTTCATCTTCCATTTTAATTGAGAGCCTTGCTGGGTAGAGTAGACTTGGTTGCAGGCCTTTGCTTTTTATTACTTGGAATATTTCATGCCATTCCCTTCTGGCTTGCAATGTTATTGTTGAGAAATCAGCTAATAGCCTTATTGGAGCTCCCTCATATGTTACTAGCTGTTTCTTCCTTGCTGCCTTTAAAATTCTGCCTTTGTTTTTAAATTTTGCCATTTTAATTATGATGTGTCTTGGAGAGGGCCTCTTCAGGTTCATCTTGATTAGGGCCGTCTGTGCTTCCAGGACATGCATGAATTTTGTCCTCACTAAGTTAGGGAAGTTTTCTGTCATTATGTTTTCTAATAGGTTTTCTATCCCTTGCTCTTTTCCTTTGCTTTCTAGAATTTGTATGATGTGAATATTGTTATGCTTCATGTTGTTCTGCAGCTCCCTTAAACTATCCTTGTTCTTTTTGAGTCTTTTTGTTTTGTTTTGTTGCTCCAACTGGGTGTTTTTTCTCTACTTTGTCTTCTAACTTGCTGATTCAATCCTCTGCTTCATCCAGCCTGCTTTTAATTCCTTCTAGTATATTCTTCATTTTAGATATTGTAGTCTTCATTTCCTCCTGGCTCTTATTCCTCTATGTCCTTTTTCCTACTAAGTTCCTTGTGGCTCCAATTAATTTCCTTGCAGTTCTCACTGACTTCCTTGA